ACTGGTAGACCATAATGAGGTTAAAGTCTCCATTATTGTCTTGCTCCACCTAATCTTCCTCAGGCACCAAGTGCAAACTTGGGGGCCCTGCCTGCCCTGAGATATATTCTTCATCAAAACCTTGAGAATTATGAGCAATTACAAATTCAAATACAAAAAATATGCTGAGCTGTGATTGTGGAGAGTGGGCATGAGGTCAGAAATAAATTCAGGGGAGGTTCTGAAAGACATGTATGATCCAGAGTGCCATGTTTTATGAGACCAATGGGGTTGGGGCTGGCAGGGACTGCAGCACTTAACTGGCCCAAACCCTCAAGGCTCAGAAAAGCATGCCTTGCAATTTTTAGTTTGAATTAATTTTCTCCACTAAACAACTAAAGAGATGTTCTGCTTTAACTTTAAATCCTTCTGAGCCCACACAGAATGTTATGGAAAAGTGCCTAAATGGTCCTGTGATACACAAAGTCCAGAAACAGAAAAGGGGAACGTGTGCTCGAGGTATAGGCTTAGCACTCCCAACTTGGATACTTATTCCTCCCTGCCAGCCTTGACTTCCCCACTGCAACAGTAAGGGGGGAAGACCAATGATGGCAGGGTTCCTCCTGCTGGGTGATGTGATGACCAGAATACAGAGATAAGCTCTGTGTTCGATGATGATGATGATTATGATGATGATGATGATGATGATGATAATAATAATAAGAAGAAGAAGGTTATTTTTTAAAGCGATTTTTTTTTAATTTTTATTTATTTATGATAGTCACACAGAGAGAGAGAGAGAGAGAGGCAGAGACACAGGCAGAGGGAGAAGCAGGCTCCATGCACCGGGAGCCCGACGTGGGACTCGATCCCGGGTCTCCAGGATCGCGCCCTGGGCCAAAGGCAGGCGCCAAACCGCTGCGCCACCCAGGGATCCCGAAGAAGAAGATTATTAAGATTCTTCTCAGAGCACAGACTTGGAGTCTCCTTCAGCCAGTAATCATACTATTTAGGAAGTAAGGGTTTGTTTTTTTTTTCATGGTACTTAGGAAACAGTCTAGAGTTCTTTGGCATAAATGATCTACTTTGGATCTCAGAAGTGTTTTTATATGAGCTAGTAAAACTTTAAGGTAGTTAAGTATCCCATTTATCTTTCAGTTTCATATACTAGGAGAGCGGACACCAAGTCACAATTATCTGTCCCAGCCTTTCCAGAAAGAGCACTTTTGAACCTTCTTAAGTGTTTCATCTGTTGCCTTCCTTAGATGCAGTGAAGGCTTTGGGCCTGGAGATCATGTCCACACATGGTGGGTGCTGCAGAGGATTTCTGCAGTCACTGCTTTTTTAGCATAGACTGAGGTGAGGCACTTTGCATTACTTTCTCCTGACTGCCTCAAATTTCAGTTAAAACCTCCTTCAAAGATGATGAAGCTTCCTTTAACTCAGCAGATGACCCACACACATTATTACATGGGCATAACAGGTTATGGATATAAAGTTCTAAAAATTCCACAGTCTCAGACGAAAAAGTTGAAAATAAGAAAATCAATGACCGTTATTAACATAAGCTTATAATTAAGTTAGAAATCCTGTCTGGCCACTGTCTGTTTGTATACCACATTCTAAGAAGGCAGAGTATTACTGACCAATGATAACTAAAAGAGAAGATTCTAGGTTGGTGTTTTCCCTTGAAATTCAGTACTATTCAGCACTTTCTTTAAATGTATTTCCTTTAAACAGTAAATATAGTCAGATATATTTCAAATATGGTGTTTCTTTAAAGACTAACACTGTAAGAATGGATTTAACCTGAGGTGCATGCACGTCTCAGTCCTTTGTATACCGAACTCTTGATTGCAGCTCTTGATCTCAGGGTTGTGAAACCAGGCCCCCACATCAGGCTCTGCACTGGGCATGGAGCCTGGTTAAGAGTCTCTCTTTCTTTCCCTCCTCCCTCCCCCTGGTCCTCTACTAAAAAAAAAATGGATTAGCTTAAAAAAATCCGCTCACCATTGACAATAGAGAAGATGATGGTTACATGAATATATCTAATATTTACAGTCCCTTTAAATAAAGTCTTGGGCTTTCACAAGTATATATAGGCCCTACTTCATTGAGAATCTTAAAAAATTAAAGGTAAACATATTTTTTTGATGCAACACCTTTCTGTTGCCACTTGTAAGTTTATTAGTTAGTAATGAGTAAGTTTGGTCCCACCAAAGCAAATGGGAAATGATTTGGGTTTTAACTCAATAACTTAAAACCTGGTAATAAGTTCCTTTAATACCATTCTACATATACATTAAAAGCAATTGAATTTTCTAAACCTAATGCTTGAATTTCAGACAGCATTCAAGCATTCCTAACTTCACAACCTGCTAACTCTGTCCCTTCCTCTGCACAGCACCACCTCAGCACCAGCTTCCCAGCCTCTATTTGCACAAAATTAAGTCAGAGGTTCATTTCCTTTACCCAAACTCCAATCCAAACTCCAACCCTGTGCTCCTCAAGTGTCCCACCCAACCCACAAAACCACCATGTAACGGTCTCTGCTCCAAAGGGTGATGACACTCAACAGTGAAAATCGGCTCTGAAACTCAGTGTCGCTGAGAGCCACACCATATTACAGAGGCTACGTAGCCAGTGAAAAAGCGACCTCAGAGTACCTCTGCTGCCACTTCTCAGTGAGAAAATCACTTTTAGAAGCTAGTCAAAGCACCACATGGGGGGCGGCTAACAGAGCCACAGCCGGTTTCATATCTGGTACCCAAGGCAGTGACCAGAGTGACAAAGCCCGAGATGCGCATGACGATAAATACTGCAAGGCAGCAACACGGTAGGCAGAGAGGCTACAGAACTGCAGACCAAGAAGCAAAACCTCGAACCCCCACACTCCCAAAGCTAAAACGTTTCCTTGTGTGAGAAACAGAACCACCACTAACAATTTTCGGAAATAATGTTTGAATCTTGGCTCAATTGGATAATTTTGTTCTGCACCAAAGACAATTCCATTCAAATTCCCAAAGTCTACGGGTAGATCTATACTTATTTCAAGATATAGTTTCCTTCCAAGCCCAAAGAAATGAAAGGCAGAGACTGGCAAAAGAAAAAAAAAAAAAACATGTAGAAGATGGTTTGCCATTTTATGAAAAACGAATGAAGAATTACAGTCACATCACACTGATAAACTGAGAGGCTGCCAGTGGTTTTCAGGGCAGATGTAACATTTTACCAAATGTGATTGTTTGTGAACGAAATAATTCTGATCAAAAACTTAATTGCAGCCAAAGTGAGCCCTGGGCTGTGTCACCATAATCCAGTCTGACAGGAAGCAGTGAGTGGAGATTCCTACTGTGAACGGAGCACATGTGAAAGGTCAGCTCTGGCCTGGAACTTCAAAACCGTTAACGTGTAAAACAGTGTGCATTAGAGCCCGGAACGGCTAACCACTGGATTAGCGGATGTCCGCTGTGTGGGTCTGATGTGCTTTTGGCAGGTAATGGTTAATTTGTAAATAGGTAAGGTATTCTAACTTTCTTCTGTGCCTCTTCCCAACACTGGTCAGCAGAGCCCATTCTTAATTACAGACCCAGAGTATTACAATATTAGATGTATATAACATAGACTCACTATACCAAAGTTTTGGATTTTTAAAGGTAAACTTATTTTTTAAGAATTTGGTGAAGGAAAAGTTGCATGCAGTTAAAAAAAATGTTTGCTTGTATAATGAATGAAAAAATGTTTCACGTAAAATCTGTTTGTCCATCCAACACCAACTATATAACAACAGTCAAAATTTGCCAAGTGAGGATTTCATTACTAGAAATATAAACTTTACTCATATATACTCATATATACTATCATCTGAAAAAACAATTATACAATGCTGTTTTGCATGGCTTAAAACAAAATTCTAAAATGCAGTTAAGTACCACAGTTTTCATTTCTCAATGTGAGATGTTATTAATGAAAGAACCAAAGTAAACATGTTTTATGAGCCAGTGTATGCAAAAGTGCTTTATACATATTTTGTGCTATAAAAGTTGGCCCATTTGACTTTAAATTAGCCATTTCTACCATATCTAAACCAATTACAGTAACAGAGTATTAATGAGTGATAAAAGCTGGCACTGGGCACTTCAGTGATTATTTTAGGATTTAACTCATTTCTGAGTTAAGGGGAAATAATACTTCTCTTTGAAAATAAGCAGGTCTTCTAAAATACATTTTATTTTTGTTCTCAAAATCAACCTTCTAAGGCTGTGTCTTTGGTAGCTGGACAGATGCGGCTGCTGGGCCCTCTGTAGGCTAAACCTTGGGATCCTGAAAAAGGCTAATGCGGCAAGGCAGACCCATTGCATGGCCAGCACTCTCATGATTCCTATCTCCTCCAGAACATCAACTGACACATTTATTTATTTATTTATTTATTTATTCATTCATTCATTCATTCATTCATTCAGAGAGAGAGAGAGAGGCAGAGACACAGGCAGAGGGAGAAGCAGACTCCATGCAGGGAGCCCGACATGGGACTCGATCCCGGGTCTCCAGGATCACACCCCGGGCTTCAGGTGGCGCTAAACCGCTGTGCCACCGGGGCTGTCCTCAACTGATACATTTAAAAACAAAACCACACATATGCTTCTAACTGCAATGGAAGATGGAGGAGAAAAACTAATTGTGGCCAGCAAAATCTCTCATGTTTCCACTTTCTGTACAGGATCTGAATCCTTTAACGTAACAGGAATATTTGGCATCTCCTGAACAGTCTGTCCCTGAAAATACAGGATATGCATGTATACCAATCTGGTGCTCTGTACCAAGCACCTTTCCAGACTCTGGGCCCCGTGACACTGTCCCTGTCCCCCTAGGAGCCCACAGTGTGGTAGGAGAGGACAGAAAGGCCAACTGTGAAGACCTGGTAAGAAAGGAGGTAGAAGAGTAAACAACTGAGAAAGTCTGGGTCAGAAACTGGTGCTGGGCACACCCATCTTCCATCTTCACCCCTCTTTTCCACATACCTCTGAGTGGACACTGCACTGGCAATCCAGGGTCACAAGGGCAGAGGGGGGGAGAGGGCAGCTGCCCAAGTTAACCTAGAAGTGGACAATGATGTCATGATTTACCAACAAAATATTTTACAAGGCTCCAAACTGCTCATTATGGAAATTTTTTATACTGTTAAGTGATTAATTACACCAGGTAACACACTCAATGTATGTAATTTTAGCCTCACTCCAAATTATTTCTTCCATGCACTACCACCTTATTCTAGGCTACCATTCCCTTTGGTGAGGCTCAGGCTCAAAGAAGCTTGCAAAGGTCCCTCCAGAAGCATGATCAGCAAGGCAGAGATGCCTCCACACTGAGCTCCAATCTAACATGGGTATGCCCACTCAGGGTTATGAACCCAGTCCTGAGGTCCTGCAGGCTGCCTCACCCATGGGATCAACCCTAAGGACTCTCTCAGGAGCAAGACGACTGCTCATAGACGCTGATTATATCTTAATTAGCTTATATTTGTTTACATGTCAAAATACAGAATGTCCAGAAAGCTGAACTTATGCTTTCATTCAGTTCTGGACTATAAGTTAGTTTTCACGAATCCAAAGAAATATGTTACTGGTTTCTTTTTAAGGACTCACGTTCAAATGGGAGGATGCCAAAGAAATTAATCATTCAATTCTTATTTGTAGGAGTAGATTATCTGTAACTTGTAAATTATTTTGATTTACAGTGAATCATTATTGTATCCATAAATGCTGGAAAGCTGGTGAACAACATGATATAACAACACCCCAAAATAATTTTAGAACTGCAGGTGTACAAATCATAACATGTGGGAGATGACTCAAAGGATAATGGGGAATAAAACAGCTTAGAAGGGTCACATAAAGGAGGGAAAGGGGTGAGGGCATGCACCCCAATTTTCCAAGATGTCTGTAAAACCAAACTACTCATTTCTAAGCAGATGCCGTGGAGCAGTCAGGCATGGGCAGCAGAGTCAACAGTTACGTTCACACAAGGGAAGGCAAAATGCTCCATAATTTACAACAACCCAATCACACTGCTCATTCTTTTGAGGTTAAATGCTACTGACATAAGCTACACCTGAATCCAATCAATGCAGAGACGTTGAGAAGATTCACACGAAAGGGCTAAATTTGTCACAAATGGGTTGGTTTCCGATCTTAATGTAGCCAAGTTGCTTTACTCTGACCTCCATTGAACAAATCAACTTAATGGGCACTAGGAGTGCTATAAAACTTAACAATGGAGTGATTTTTAACTTTTAAAATATAGTTATGAAGCAAAATGTTGGATAGCTCCTACAATACTGGAAATCAAATTAAATCTAGATGTTTTTTAACAGTCTTGACAGATATAATCCTAGTTACCATGTAAATTTATGGTAAGCTGCTGTGATATTAGCCACAGGTGCTACTTTTAATATATGAGCCGCATCTGGCTGGGAATAGAATTTCTCAGAGGACTGAAAATGACCTCACTATCAGACAATGGAAGGGAAAAAAACAAGACCACTGTGGCATATAAAAAGCTGAAGATGTGGTCCACAACTAAATATTTCACATAAAATTCATTTTAACTCTGCAGTTATAGGTTAAAGGATATTATGCTTTCATTATCTAAAAAGCATAGATATATTTCAACCAAATAGCCAAAAGATTAAGAATGTAAGACAGTTATGAATGCCCTGGCTACATACATAATACTGGTTTTCCAAACTTTGATCAATGTCAGAAAAATGATGCACGAAGACTTAAAAAGAAAATTCTTTCATGGTTCCCAAGAACACAACATGATTAGACACCACCAGGCATACCAAACCAAGATGTAACAATTACTGATCTCTATGCAGCAGCAACTCTCCAGCACCTGGCCAACATCACTGGCTGTGTTTTTAAAGTTCTTTGGAGTCATTCATCACACCCAAGAAAACATTCTCATCAGGTAAAATTAAAAAAAAAAAATCACTACAAGTATTTACCATTCTGAGTTTTAAAACTGCTAATATCACCCATAGACAACGACAGGGAGAAAGCACAAGTTTTTCTTACCTAACCAACTCAAAAATTAAAAAATGAGTATGTATAAAACATGGAATTGTTTCCTTTTAAGAAACTATTCCTGAACCATTTGAAAGCCATCATTTGCTAGAGAACTGGCAAGTGTGGAAATGTGATAAAGGATTTACAAAGATTTAATTTCCTATGAAATAACTCTTCCCGAATTAAACAAGCCTTCTTTATCTGAAAAACATCTCTAAAAGAGAAACATTTCTATGAAAATATTCCCTACATCATTCCACTGAGCTGTGAGAATGGTAGCTACAAAGCCCTGTAACATAACATTTTCCTTCTGACCTTCTCAAGTAACTTGAAAGGGCTTGATTTTTTAGCTTCAGGAGATCAATCTAGGTGATGATTTCTATTTACTTTAAAAAAAAAAAAAAAGTAACTGGACCTATGGCTGATCTCCAAGGGCATCAAGACCCTGAATATCTTTAACCTAAGAACAACCTGGTAAGACTCCCTGATACTTTTGTAACCAACTGGCAGCATGAATATGGATCATTTAGAAAAGGTAGGGTCACAAAGCCTCATCTGTGAAATCTGTGAAATGGTGGATTACTGCAGAAAAGTACTGGTTAAATTACATATGGCCTTTCCGTCCAATGGAATAGAGAAAGAGAGAGAGAGACAAAGAAAAAATACGTATAAATATACATCCCACTATATATATACACACACACAAACACACACACATATATATATCCCATCAATAAAAGTCATGAAGTAAAATATTTTTTGACAGAGAAAAATGTTCACTATACATGAAGGAAAAAAAGTGAGCAAAATACATCTACACTATGACCCCAAACCTATATAGATACATACATACATACATAGAAGTTATAGATTCACACATACTGCTTTTTAAGCAAGCAGAAAGATTACAGGTACATTTTTCTTCTTTGTACTTTTTTTGTGCTTTCCAAATTATAAAACATACTATGCCATCAGAAAAAAAATGTAGTTTATTAACAAATTAAACATACTACACAGATGTAACAGGGTGCTGTCATTCCCAGAGGAATGAGAAAGGCCTGGCTGAGGTCCATGGGGTATGCAAGTAATGCATACATGTTAAACCCTTCAACTGAAACCTTGCAGTTGTAAATAAATAGGAAGACTGAAGAAACTTGTTCTCGAGCTTACATAGTAGAACCACACTTTAAGACATCCAGAATTACAAATGCCCTCTCTTCTACACATCTCTATCCACCGCTGTATGGTCAGTGGCTCAGAAAGCTGGCGTCTCTCGGTGCAGGACAAGTTTATCCTCTTACATAGAGTTCTAATTTGCCAAGTAAAGTTTTTAGCTTTAACTCTATAGACCTTCTTTCTGGAAATGACTTCCCCCTTCCAAGCTGTAGTCGACTTAGGGCCAATAACTGAATGAACAAGTATTATAAATGACTGTTATCAGGGCAAGGCATGGAGAACCATGCAGTAATTTACAGGTCAAAATCCAAACAATACCTAGCTTCTCTTTTCTTCAAAATACACAAAGAACATGTAGCCTCCTTTAGGCCCTCCAAAATAGGCATTTTATCCTAAATGAAGAAACAGACTTGATTTTGAACTCAACAGCAGAGTTGGTCATTCAAAAGTCTAAGATATTCCGAAACAGGAAGCCCATCCACATCTTGAATTATTCCACAACCCTTCGAAATACAGATCCGTGTTAGACAAGAGCTTTGGCCTTAGGGCAGGAAGCCTGGCCTGGGAAGGAGACTACTGCCTCCTTCCTCAGTCAAGTCTGAGCAGGTTGCTTAACTTCCCTGTTTCCACCATGACCAAACTGGCCTATATTACCTCCCAGGACCCCAAGAGAGACCTACCATCACCTACTGGATGCTCAAACACTCCTTGGTTCACAAAAACTTTTGTGATTCTCCAAACTCACAGAAACAAATGATTTGGCTACATTTCAAGTAAATAACGCAACATTAAGAGTTACCTATATACAGGGGCACCTAGGTGGCTCCAACAGTTAAGCATCTGACCTCTGCCTCAGGTCATGATTTCCGGGTCCTGGGATTGAGCCCCGTGTCGCATCATCCATCATCGCATCATTCAATGGGAGTCTTCTTATCCCCCTCCCTATATCCCTCCCTCTGCTCATGCTCTCTCTCCCTCTCTCAAGTAAATAAAATCTTTTAGAAAAAGTTATCTGTATACAGAATGACCTTAAAGTAACATTTTTCACTTAATATTTGTATAAATAATTCCCAAAAAATGTATTCAATGAATTTATAAACTTTTCTACCTAGAACACCAGGAAGTTATTTTTTTTTTTAAAGTTGGCCAAGAGTGCTAGACCAGTGGTCATAGAAAAAGGGAAAGAAAAAAAAAAGGACCTGGGATTAAAACAAAAATGAACACCTAATTGATAGCGGTAAACAGGTCTGTGCTAGTCTCCCAGCATTACACTTTCTGGAAGCTTGGAAGAATCTGCCATGGGCTCTCAGGATACCAAAATTCACAAAAGACAAAACTGTGGGTAGCCGAAGCTGTGAAGCCAAAATCCTAAGTGTTAACTTCAGCCTCTCATTATTGATGCAATTTACTACAGATACCACAAGTGGCCCATTTCCTTCTCTGATACTTCAAAACTGCAAGCTGAACAAAGACAATCAATGCTGTTCTTTTGGGAAGTGCACCATGCCATCACAGATCATCCCTCATACACAACTACTTAGCGGCCAAAAATACCAGTCACCATTAGGAACCATCTGTGTCCAAAAGCAAGAAATGAGGGAGGGGGTTAAGTCCCTAGTGAGAAAGGATTTTAGGTAATAACCTGTAGGAGACAAACAGATGAAAAATACAACTCCCTGGGGCTAAGGGCACTGGCTAAGATCATCTATGCTGAACCCATCAAGGGACCTCATGTATTCAAAATATACCTAGGTCTATCTAAATTTAAAAAGAAAACAAAACAAAACAACCCACCTAGGTAACCCCGGGCTGGGTACTGTGGTAATGTACATAAGCACGACCTGAGTCTC